CTATATTTTATCAATTTTAATATTTATCCTTTTTCACCTTTCAAAAAACCTTCCACGCTTCTTTCGTCTACGAAGGTATTACAGTTCTACTCGTGTTCCGATGTTAGGTATTTTTATTTAAAAAAAACAATCATCTGAAAACATGCTTTGCATTTGATACTAGATTTAACACTGCAATCATCTAGTAGAGGAATTATCTATAATTTTCTTTTAGGAATCACAAGAGTTATAGAAATTTCGATTGATTTATATAGCTTTCTGAAACAATTTAATTCCTTTAAATTATTTGCATCTTTCCAATTATTCTAAAGGAACATATACAGAGTGGTTTATTTTAAAGTAGTTAAGATTTATCGCAGTTTATTCTATTTTTAAGAAATTCAAGTTCATTACTATTTTTAACATTAATGGTTTACAAATACACAATTAGGATATTCCTGTAACTGTATCCATCAGAATCAACGTTCGAGAAAGATTTGCAGAATAATCTTTAGAAAATCTAATATCTCAATGCTTATCCATAATCCTAGCCTGAAAGAGGCAGTTCATCAAGGAAACAATGAAACATTGATTACCGGGCCCGGTAATTAGAAGAAAATCGATTGCGGGGATCGAACGGTTGTTCCGCGCGGTCGGTACGCAGGACCGAGTGAACCATCCCTGAAATCGGCCGCGCCGCGCGCGTAGGCGAAGAAAACAGCGAACACGAGGCCACGGCATCGCTAATTTAAACGAGATCTCGAATTAAGGCTGCCCCGGTAATTCGAGATAGCGTGGAACAAGCTGTACACCGGTGGTTTTCGCAGCGCTGCACATCGTCGACTAATAATTTTCTGTTTATCCACGACCATTACAATTACTAATTACCGCGATCTCGAACGATCTCGATCGTATCGCGCTGCCTTTCTTCTCCTCCCGGGAACAACAAACCCTTCCGGTCCCGTGCTGCTCGCTTTTCAACAACTTCCACGGCGAATCTCGACTAGCATCGTACGGCCAGAACAAAACACCGTAGCACACGGCTCGGATCGCCGGCGATTTTCGAATCATGGCGGGCCGAGGCGAATCGGATCTGTTCGACGATCGAGAAATTGGAATACAGTCGAACCTGTTTTTGTGCGGTAGATAGGGACCGCATAAAAAAATTGTTCAGAAATGTAGAAAATAGTGAGAAAGTGCTTTCAAACGAAATAAACAATTAAATTACACGTGGCATCATTTTAATGAAATTTAATTTCTCATAGATGGAGAGATTTTCACAATGCAGATAATTCACTACTCGTCGTAGTCCGAAACGCGTCTTCTTGTGATGAACTGGTTCAAAGTCGCTTTCGTCACTTGAAAAACAACACCGTTGGAATTCATATATCGCATAAAAAAATCGCACAAAATAAGACAGCTTTGACTGTACTGGAGTGTTAACCGTTTGAGTGTTACGGGTCTTCGCAAAAACGATCGAAAAGTGCCAAAGCGCGATCGCGCTTCTTTCGTTTCAGTTTAGAAACTGAATGACTTCTATTTTTATATGAAAAGATTGCAAATAGCAATTCCGCTTTCTCATTTATAAGCAGATAATAACAAAAATCAAAACAAATAATTAGGAGGAAGACAAATGAATAAAGTTCATTTGATTCTACGAACCCATGTGCCATTGCGATATAACGAACGCAAACTAGATTTTCGTTACCATAGTTCACCCTGTATCGAATGATATCCATTTGTCACTAGAGATTCAAATATTTTCAATTATCTTATCTATATGTTCACGTAAATTCTATAATAATCTTCAATCTTCCAATAAGTCACCTAATAAAGTTTCTGCATACAAATATATACCTCGATACCATCAATTTCAACTCAAATCATTCAATTTTTTCAAAAACAGTGTATTCCACTGACTACCAACATCAAAAGCCAGCTCCAAAATACCAAACAAAACATCCAATTTCCAAAATCCACCCCACCTAATTCCCCATCATCCCCTAAAAAAGCTGTCTCCCAGAGATCCAGCTCGAGACACCCATCGAGGACTCATAATTCCTGGATTCTTGCTTCCGTAGTCAGCGAGGGGGCTGCAAAAAGCATAGTCGGGGGTAGTAGGGGGTTGGCGACGTCCGGTAGCGACTTGTACGTGTTTGGCGGCGGAAACAGCGGCATGATGGCTCGCTTAACCCGTCCCCGGCCCCCGGTGCTAGTTGTTTCTGCGTGTCCTCCTCTTTTTGGCCGAGCCCGCACCCCCGAGCCACCCCGTTGATCGAAGCGGGGCTCGGTTTTCTGCTCGCTTAAGAAATGACGTGTTTGCCGGCCGTCGAACGGCAGCCCATAACCTGTCCGACTGCTTGCCACCAGCCCGGACAGACATACGAAGCGCGGCGCGAGCAACCACCGGGCACGCACCACCGTCAGGGAATGACGACGGTGACACCGAGGACGCCACCCCGGCACGGGGAAAAACTCACGGGCAACTGGATCGATGGATCCGTCAAACGGATTTCGAGGCGGGGATTATTTATGGGATACCCGGGCTCGGTGATCGTTGCGTGACGGGTGTCCTTTCGGGCGTGATCCTTGGTACACCTGGAGAAAGCCGGGACAAGAAAGATGGATGCGGGAAAAAACGGTCCGCAGGGTTTCCTGGTGTCAGACGATGCCTGCTCCGTTTTTCCCGGTACTGTGATTATTAGGATTTCTCTTGGGTAGCTTCAGCCTCTGTGTTGAGGTCAGTGTGAAGATTCGGTCTGGGGGTTTGATTTATTGGAAGCTACGTTAGGTTAGAGGCGATAGGGGATGATAGTTTGTATGGATCTATAAAGAATGAATAGATATGTGAACGATAGTGTCGCAAGGTTACATCGAAGACACTGAGGATGTAGAAAGCCTAGAACATTGGTATTCACCCAATAGCTCCTTCAGAAAATCCATTCAGATTCCTAGATTCTCGGACCGATACACAGTGGAGCTATTCGAGCTATTCGATGTACCTTATGACATCCATAGATTCCCCTGCGTTGGATCCCGGCTTTTTTCCAGAGCGGCGAACTAGACCGCGTCATCGTCGCCATCATCTCTGGTCCTTGAGAAGACAGCGACGCGGCGGATCGCAGGCGGTCTCGGCGCGCGTCGAAAGAAACCGCGCAGTTTCCACGTACCGATCGATCGGTCCGGCCGATCAATATTCAACGTGCATGTTAATGGGCAATTAATAGCGGCGCGCTGGTCGTCGGCCCGATCCGGGCCCCGTGTGCCCGGCATACGCGGCGTGCCGTCGCAGCTCCGTTTTTTTTCAAAAGAGGTTTTGTAATCGAGCGTGTCCACCGGCGCGCACACCAGCTCCCCCCCCTCGCCGTGCAACCCCGCCTCGCGCGGCGGCGGGTTCACTCATTTGTATGCGGCGTACGTGGCCGCGAAGGAGCTTATAAGTAACACAGTAATGACACAGCCTGTCATGGCGCGGAACAGTTTTCTCGGCTCCCATTGTCGTTAAGAGGCCGGCCGGTGCTGATTTATCGGCGCCGCCAGGGAAATTCCGCCGCGGATCTCTTCGCCGGATGCCTTTTCCAACGTGTATCTGCCTACGTGCATTAACATCGTTTTTCAACGGACGTCTAACGTCCACTGTTCTCTCGTTCCTACCGAAGGCGGCTTCCAGCTGCAGGGGTTCTCAATTGGTAGCCTAGTTGCTTGGATGATGATTCGTGAGAACCTTAGCTTGGCAATTTTTGGGATGACTGTTGTATCGATGATATTGGAGTTGCGTGTTTAATATTGCTCTTCCTTTTCTTCTGAAGGCGGTTGCTAGCTGCAGGGGTTCTCAATTGGTAGCCTAGTTGCTTGGATGATGACTCGTGAGAACCTTGTAACTTGGCCATTTTTGGGGATGGCTGTTGTCGTTTTGATAATATTGGAGTTACATATTTAATATTGTATTAATATTGTTCTTCAAGTACTGTCTGACGTCCATTGCTCTTCCCTTCCTTCCGAAGTCGGCTTCTAGCATCAAACGTTCTCATTTGATACCCTAATCAGTGGATCGAAGGACTTACGAGAACCTTGTGATTTTTCAATTTTAGAAGATAAACGTTGCCATATTGCCGGTACCTGAATTGCACAATTAACGTCTTATTAATATTGTTTTTCAAAGACCATCTAACGTCCATTGTTCTTCCTTTTCTTCTAAAGATCCCTTCTAGCTTCAGAGGTTATCATTTGGCGGCTTAGTTGGTAAATTGAAGTATTCATGAGAACCTTCTGTGTCTACACATAGAATTGACGGTCGCGAGAGAAAGATTAATCGATAGTTTCCTTCTTTCTTGACGCTCCACGAGTCGACAGCCATTTCCGAAGACAATCATTTTCCCCGATCAATTCGCTTGCGAGATTCGACGCAATTACGTACGCTTACGTTTGAGAACCTCTGAATCGGCCCATGGAAAAGTCTATAGAAATTGCTACCTTTATAGATCAATTAATTTATAGGTTAATTAAATTTACTGTCCTTATCGTTAAGGGTTTAAGTATATTACAAGCCATGTCTCTTCGGAAGTATATATATATATATATCTATATATCTATATATATCTATATATATCTATACATATATAAATATATATATGTATATATATATATTTTGTATGAATCGCAATTGAGGATCGGTGTTGTTCGAAGGAAATTAGCCGCAGTGATAGGAACGGTAGCAGGCCAGCTGCAGTATCATTTCCTCTAAAAGGACATAACTCCCATTTAAAAGTCTTAATTCTCTGATTGCTAACGCGATTCTTTCATTAAGACATTAAGTATGAAGGAAATATATTACCGATCATAAAAGTTGATCATAGAACGCAAAGAAAATATAAAAGTGACGAGGATAAAACTGCGTTGCTCATTAGAAACAGATTTATATGATTAAGCCTCCGCGAAATAATTGATCGTATAAGATAATATTGTTTTTCATTTGCGACGTGGATCATAGAAATTCGTTCGATCCATTCGATTCAGAAATACGTGCTCGCACACATTCGTATCACCTTTTTCCTTTCCACTGTAATGACGATCGTCCCATGCAAACAAGAAACACGCTTTCGTCGCAGCGAGAGTGGTTATTTACCAACGAACCCGCTTTCACGTGGAATCAACCTTTTGCAATCGACAGTTTTTCAATAAATATTCGACGCTTCTCGATCAGATATAGACGACATTCTTTATAACTGACGAGGAAACATACGTAAATTAAGAAACAAAGCCATCTTATTCCAATATTTCACATATCGATACATTATACGAAGCTTAATAGTATATAAAACTTTCTAATTTTGCTGTAGTCGATTAACCCTTAGCAATCCAGATAGTTTTGTAATCTATCAGCAACTGCAACTAATTTTTACAGTATCCCTAGCGAAAATGAGAAATGCTATAACATTTCTCAGATCTTTTATTTTCCTTAGTGCAAAATTTGGATGTGTGAAAAATCTAGTAATTATAGGGTAAGATTCATTGAAATATCTAATATTATTCCTGGTGCAATTTTGGAGCCTACAGAGTTCAAAGGGTTAACCCTTTGCACTCGAAACTTTTTCACTGGAAACATTTCACATTTTTCGAGATAAAATTCACAGATAAATTAAGCGACGAAGCTAATTTATTGAAATATTCCCTATAGCAATACAAAGTTTAGTTTAAAATACTAAATATTCGACTTCATGGTTTTGCTCCATCAAATCAACTGGTGACTGAGAGTCATCTCTCGAGTGCAAACGTGTAACAGAGTTTACACGCGACGAACTTTCGAGAGACAGTCCATTCGCTGGGAATAAAAAGTCAGGCTATCGTGCGTCGCGTATACGTGATGCACCGATAAGAGCATCGCCGGTATTCAAACCGCTTTATTTCTTTTCTTAGACGAATCCAGCGATAACGGACGCGGTAACGTGGCACGGGCTTTTTTAAGTCGCGGCCACGATAAGCCGCCGAACGGATCGCGGATAAGGAAAATCGTTGGCTGCATTTCGCGACCGAACAGCGAAATTCGGAAAGCGAGGGATTTTGTGCATTCCGTCGCTAATAATCGTCGATTCTATCGACTCATCAATTTCATATAGATAATATACAAAGATGATCTAGAATCCTTCTCTTCTTCAGTGAATTATTAATCACAAAGTAGTTCTATCGATTATAATCCACACAGAAGTCACAAGAGAATGATCTAAGCTTATCAATGAACCCTTCCAATACATCTCAATTTTTCATTCTAATCCTGTCATAAACGCATAAGCAATGAATAATTATCATAGAAGCTCGCTAAGCTCGTAGATTAACGAAGCAAAAAGTTCCGGCGACAGAGAAGAAAATTTTTGTGAACCGTGCGGACCTGAAAGTGTTAATAGTCTTGCATATTATGATATTTTTCAGATTAATTCGGAAAATTGCAGAAGCATCTCGACGTGCGTGGCACGTCTTTCCACCGCAAAGGGTTAAAGATAATTTCCAGATTTTGAACATTCCACTATTCGTGTCAAGGCAAACTTCGCGGAATATACCATTGGATGTAACGCGTTGATGGAAATCATTGAGAAGAATGAAGATACAACCAAGAACAAAGGGAGAATGGGAAGATATGATATTTTTCAAATCAATTTGGGAAATTGACATTTCCGTGACAATTGCCTGTAACAGAAGCATTTCGACGTTTTTCCAGATTTCGAACATTCCGCTATTCGTGTCAAGGCAAACTTCGCGGAATACACCATTGGATGTAACGCGTTGATGGAAATCATTGAGAAGAATGAAGATACAACCACGAACAAAGGGAGAATGGGAAGAATCGGAAGGAACGCATCTAGCCCGATAACACCGCGGCGAATGGTTTCCCTTTAACAGCGGCCGGTCGGCTCCCAGCAGGAAGGGATAAATATTCCCGACAAATGATCGTTCCAGATATTTACGCGAGATAATCGGCAGCGATAAGGACGCGTGCCTACAAAACTGTCCGAAGTGTAAGACCGAGAAACGATACGACGCGTCCAATTAAAAAACTCGCTTCCCAGCCGTGATGCGTCGCGCCCTCCCCCCTCGCCCGCCCGCCCCCGCCGGCCGTCCACCCTCGGCGCGTTGCAACGTTCGCCGCCGCGCTATCCGCGCGCGCGTTTCTTTTTTTCCACAGAAAAACCGCGGCATCTGGCATCGTTAATTAATCACGAATATTTATTGCGTAGCCTCATGCTCATCCGCCGCGGCCTAACCCGCAATACCAGGCAATTAGCGAAATTATTGCATGAAAAACGAGTGAAAAAAGGATTATATATATATCTATATATGTATCTATAAATATATATACATACGCGTGTGGACGATTGCGTACAATGCTGGCCAAAAGTTTGGGACCATTACGTTGCGAAAGAAACATTTGTTTTGCGCGATGAATCTTTGGGAATTTTTTTGTTTACTAATGCGATGGTGTGTCTATGGCTATTATCGGGATAAAATTTGCTTCTGGTGGAAGTAGGAAATAATTGTTATGGAAATCTTTGTAGTAGATAATAGATTCTATATTACAATACTTTCATAGAATGCAAAAATGCAGCTGACTTTCATTTGATAAGAGAAATACTTCTCTAAACGTCTGTTTACATGAATTCTTTTACCTCATTTCTGGTGAAAAAGGATTAAGCTACTATCTCCAGAAACTCGATTTCGAAATATTTTACTTCGTGAATACATTGTCAACACGCTGCTGGCAAATAAGATAAAGTGATTCCAATGTTGCAGTGTTCACACTGAATATTCAAAGCCCGATGCTACATATAAATATTTTCTAACATGGTCATTTAACATTCGAATGTTGCGTTCATATGAATAAAATAAAAAGAATATTCAAAGCTTGTTACCAGATACAATATACAAATATTTTCTAACATGGTCATTCAACACTCGAATGTCGCATTCATAAAAATAAAATAAAGAGAAATAATGAGAATGAAGTAAAACGAAAGGCAGGAAGAATAAAATAAAAGAAAAAGGCACCAAACTTTTGGTCGGCAATGTAGGTAGGTGTGCAGGTGTGCAGGTGTGCAGGTGTACGGAGACGGCGCGATTTCTTCGCCGCGATTCACTGGCCCGTGTGCGGCTACGGCGGCGGCCTCGTCTCGCTGGGAGCACTCCAGACATCAACCGATCGTATCCTCGCAATAATTAGCTCATTAATGCCCAGATTCATGCGTTCCATACAGTTTCCCGATTGTGGGGCCCCTTCGTTTCAACGGTGAGTTCCACCTTCGCGGGTCGAACGTTCTTCCTGGGTTATTCTTTTATTTCCCTCCCCGCTGAGTCTTCCTGCCTCTTAATTTCAATGCCCTTGCTTTCAGCAATAGGTTGAAGTCAACGAATTAGCTTACAATAAGGAAGAGATAAGAAGTTTTCGGAATTATGCAGTTTAGAGTTGAAGATATTTCCCTTTCCGACTTAATTTCAATGCTCTTGTTTCCATAATTAGTTTGAAATCAAAGAATTAGATTAGGATGGAAAAGAGATTTGAAGTTTTCGGAATTATGCAGTTTAGAATTGAAAATATTTCCCTTTCTGACTTAATTTCAATGACCTTGCTTCTAGAATTAATTTGAAATCAAAAATCTAGCTCACGATGGAAAAGAGATACGAAGTTTTCGGAATTATGCAGTTTAGAATTGAAAATATTTCTCTTTCTGTCTCTTAATCACAATGCCCTTGTTTCCAGCATTAGTTTGAAATCAAAGAATTAGCTCAGGATGGAAAGGAGATTCGAAGTGTCAGGAATGATGCAGTTTAGAATTGAGAATGATACGGAATTTTTCCATGTAACTAGTTTAGAATTAATAATCATTCGGAATTCTTCCGTGGAACTAGTTTAGAATTGATAATCATTTGGAATTCTTCTGCAGAACTGGTTTAGAATTGATAATGATTAGGAATTTGCTAGTTCTAATGATTTGCAACTTGCCTATAGAACTACTTCAGTAATTTGCCACCTGAGTAATATTAAATCACAGAAAGCTACCTCTAAAATTTTCGTATAAGTAGATTTATTATTAGTATATATATATAATACATTTTTCGAATATGATTTATTTAATATCTTTCGATTCTTTGAAATTTTAGAGAATTTTCTAGAATTTTGTAGGACGATCAAAGACTCGAAGAATGTACCTACAATTCGTTGGATTGTTGCATCGATCAGATTAGAGTCTCCCCTCGAAGAGTATTCGCATATTTGAAATGTTTCGCAACCAGTGAGATATATAAGAGGTAAATGCTGTAGTATATCTTTTCCATGGAATTGTAATACACTCGGAGAAAAATTTAATTAGTAGTGGAATCCACGGGGCGTGGATGATATGTTGGGCCTGGCCGAAGATACACTACTCGGAGAAGTTTTTTTTACACGATTCCGCGGTGTTTCTGGTATTTGTTGTTGGTTTTATGGAGCAGAAATGTGTGTCAGATCATATTTGCACTCTATGTTGCGATCGTATCTCGGGAAATGGGGACGTTGGCTGAAATACCGAACGATAATTCAACTATTATTTAACGCTGCGGTGAAAGAGGTCGTGCATACGGGTATCTATGGACATTTGCAAATATAATTCTAGTTCCGACGATAAACCACGGAAAATGTTAATATAAACAACGCAGCGCGGAGATTATCTGTACTTACACCGCACTCGACGATTCTTCGGTTCGTCATTGAATTCAGATAATGACGAATAGAAGAATTTAACGAACTTCCCAGTAGAACTTAGAACAAAGTAACAACATTATGTTTCTAAAATAAAATAATTTTAAAATTTTTAAAACAGTAAAACATGTAGATCAACTCTAATTTTTATTTCTGAGTTTTCGAGGAAAAGCTTCTATGAGATATTCTTGAATTAAATATTTCTATTACAATTTTACTGATAATATTGTAATAGAAATATTTAATTCAAGAATATTTCATAGAAGCTTTTCTCTCGAAAACTCAGAAATAAAAATTAGATTTAATAATTTACGTCACTAATAATATTCACTATTAATTAATATTAATAACTGCAAAGTTAGTATTCAATTATTTCAAGAATATTTCACAAAAGCTTTTCTTCGAGAACTCAGGTTGATGATAGAGGACTATTATTCTAAGCCACTCGGACAGCTGATCCTATTACCCAAGCCGAGAATTTCAGTAGAAACTCTGCGTCACCGATCAGACGCGAGCAAAGTTCGGTCTCGCCGCGAGTTTCGGCAGGGAAGCACGTGGGAAGTCTGAAATTTCGTGTTGCATGCAAACGTCGCTTTCCTTGGGCGGAGCTCATGCAATATTAAAAAGAGCTCCGGATTCATTTGCGATTCGGCGAGACTCTTAATTAGGGAAATCTCGATTCCCAAGGTTTTGATACGTTCGCCTAGCCCAGGCAGCGGCTCGTTCCACGGTGATCCACGAAATTCGAATTACTTTAAATTGTAAATTGATTCGCGTCATGATTGGCTCGCAAAACCGTTCGCTAATTGGCTGCTCGAGCTTGAACCTATCAGTTCGATAATTAATACTTCTGCGTCGAAATTTTTGTCCTACAAAGGAAGAAAGAATTCGAAATCATTTTCACTGTGCAATGAATTGATAGTATTTTTAATCATTCTAATTTCCATCTCTATAATTCTATAATAATATTCTATGAAATTCTTCACCTATCCCAAAAATCTCAACACTCTCTATAGATTCCTAAAAACATTTACTCGAACACCAATTCCAAATCCAACATAAGTTCCAAATAGATCAATCATTAACCCTTTGCACTCTACAGGTGACTTAGTCACTTGATTTGATGCAGCAAAACTATAAAACTTGATATTCAATGTTGAACTATATATAATGCATCGGTATGTGAAATATTGGGATAAAAAAATTTTGTCTCTGAGGTCACTTGCGATTTCACTTTGAGTTAATTTCAAAAATATCGTTTGTCCAGTTAGATGTTAATTTCTAACGAAATAATTGAGTGCAAAGAATTAACCTTTAACGAACGTCGGAACACCACGTTACAAATGATTTAACACTAGGTTTACGGGCATTTATTGTACAGTTTATTCTATTGTTCCTGGGAAGTTGATATACGTTCATTTAGACCTTGGAAATTGTAGATATAAAAATAGACAATCAGGATTCATATTCGTGTAATTGGACGAAAACCGTTTGAAACATTTACCAAATAATGTTTATAAAATTCAATCTACGTCAAACTGACGCGTTCCGTAAACCTAGTGTTAACTGTTCGAACAGTAAGAAATCGGTACACAGTTTCATTGTTCTCTGATTTAAGCATTGAATGTTTAACTCAGCAGAATCTGCAAGAGATTTTGAATACCCCCAACGATCTTCGTCAGCAAAGGGTTAAAAAACTAACACTCTTAAACCCAACAGACATTTCAACATTTCAAAAGATCCAAACAATCGAAAGAACGAACTTTCGGCAGCGAATCTAAGAGAGGCTACTTGAAATCCAAATGGCGGCCTCTCGAATAGTTCGTTACCGGTCGGCTTTTTTCGCGTGGGGCCCGTTCCGTTCCGTTCCGTCCCGTCCCGTCCCGTCCGCATGCGCGGTTGCGAAAGAAGTCGCGGGATCGCGTCGTCGATCGGCGCAAATAAATCCGCGACACGCAGCGCGCGGTCCCCCCGGCTGATGCATGATTTCATGGAATCGCGGCGAGGCGAGGGCAGCGCGTGTGGGAAACTCGCCGGATGCATTATGTATTTATTGCTTTACTTACTTAGTTGGGAATTACTTTTGCCAGCGTAATGACTTTCAGGCAGGCCCGCTATCTTAGGAATGCAATAGGCCTGATTTATCGCTCGGCCGGTGTTTTTCTCGGGCCAGTTTGTCGTTATCGCTGTACCTGTCCTGCCTCGTCCACCGAGACGTCCGCCGCCTGGTGCTGTCTAGTGACCTCGAAACGATCGATGAGCGACGATCCAGCCGGCCGTTGGTTCGCCGGGATCCAAGGGAAATCGCGATCGAACGGGGAAAGATCTTGCTCGAGATCTGCAGCCGGATTTCACGTGTTTCCCATTGGTCGCGTGAAACCGGACGGTTCTGAATTTTGATGACCGACCCTACAGCTTTAGGGTATGCCGATCGTTGGGAGTTTTGTTTGTTGGTACTGTTACGGTTTCGTAGTTTTTATTGATTCGATAGGGTTCTCATTTGTTACTTTTGCATTTGAAGTTGAAACTGGAGGAATGCATGGATCGTAGGATTAACCCTTTAAGGACGAAGACACTTTAACACTAGAACTACTGTAACAGTCGAAATCACTGGTTTCGATTTGTTTCGCAGTTATTAATTCCTTAATAACATTGAATATTTGAAATGATCTTGGAAATAAATAGTTTCACTTGAGTACTATGATGAATATACAAAGAAACTGAGAATAATCTATTGTTACAATTTTTATAGAGATTACTTATCAATCGTATTAAATGCTCGGTAGTTCTATTGTTAACACTAGGTTTACGAAACGCGTCAATTTCACGCAGATTGCATTTTATAAACATCATTTGGTAAATGTTTCAATCGGTTGTCGTCGATCCAATTACTCGAATATGAAACTTGATTGTCTATTTCTACATCTACAATTTCCAAAATCAACTTCCCCAGGAACAATAGAATAAACTGTACAATAAATGCTCGTAAACCTAGCGTTAAAGTACACAAAGCTGACAACATATGATGCTAAATTATACATTGAATGCGTAAACAATGGAAGAAGGAAACTATACACTGATCTTTTATTATTCAACTAATTAAATCACTCGTCTGAAACTTAATGCTCCAAATATGAACATTTCTTCTCGCCAAAATGTCGACGTCCATCGCAAAGGGTTAACTGATCGCATAGAATCTTTTCTGAATTATTTTATGGGAGCAATTCAGTGATGCAAGAATTCCAAATAAATTTACAAGCTTTCTAAGATTCCTCTGTCATGTTCGTGAAATCTTACGAAAGTACTTAGTCAAACTAATTAAATCAGATTAGGCTGCAACAGGAGAAACGTTCGTCGAGGTAAAAGTAAGAACACACTGCTTAGAGTATATAAAACCAGGCGAACGTTCCGGAGGGTATACAAGATGCCGGAGTGATCAACGACTCATTACTAGGATACACAATCGACGTTAATCGCAGTCGTAACCTGAAAACAGCCGATGGAAAAGATACGCGGATCGCTGACCGGAAACCTGGCCGGTTGCGCCATTCGACCGAGAATTTCTGTTATAGATTGAATTATGCATGACTTCCAAAATATTCTTTAATATACTCCATTGTTCAACGTTCCTAACTTTCGGCAAGAAAATGGCAGTAGACAAGTCTGCGAGATAAGACCAACGGTAATTAAACATAACGGTAATTTTCGGCAAACCGAGTTATTTGTTTTTATGAAAACAGTGTTTACATAACAGCTTGCATCAGGTACAAAGCGTTATTAATAAAAAATGAAAAGAAGCAGTGTCGTAAGAATTTATGAGAGAAGCTCATAATTGATATGAACTCTTTTAATATGTCGATACTTTTCATGTCAATACTTAATATGTCAAATCTTTCGATTGTGTCAATACATTGAATTCATCCCCGAAGACACGTTCACGTGTTCAGAAATAATCAGCGCACAGTCGAGTTTCATCGAATCGTAGAGTTAACGATTCACCATGGCTGGAAATGGAAATTCGGCGAGGCGATCGACGCTTGTATTAACGCGCGATCCTCGCGCAATTAGTAATCAGTAAATTGAGGATCGTCGGACGGATAGCACACGGGGGATCGCGTGTAAATCATTTGTATCCCTTAATTACGGGACTTGTTACAGCGAGGCCGGCGTCCGGAGATACTTTATTGCCCCGTAAAAGCTACAATGAGACATAACTATGCTCAGAAATTAAGGAAGCTTAAGCTAATACAAGTAATTAGCGTGGAGTGACGTGGCGGGATTTCGTTCTACTAATCAGAGCGATGCGAAGATACATATTGCGACGGCCGAAACTGGCTGCGCATGCGATCGCTCGTCTGTAAACTCATAAATAATTATCTCAATATTCGTGAAACGATCTACCAGACGAGCGGGCTAATTAATTAGAATAACGCTGAAGCTAGTGACGGCGAGCCGCGGACTGTACGTGTTCCTTGCAACACTGTTCTTTCCGAATCTTACAAGCTGCCTCGACACTGCGCGATCTTAATCTGATTGTTCCTAGTTTTACTTGTAACCGATATCTGTAACACCGTTAATAACAGCTGCAATAACGACTGCAGTGACAATAGAAACATTAAGTTAGACGAAAGGAAAATTGTCGTTGATCTCATTCTCGGACCATTCAATCGAAACCTAATAAATCAGTTCTAGAATCACCAACGTGAAATCGTGAAATCAACGAAAATCATTCACAAAATGATACCAAAACGATACAATTAATACAACAACTGCAATAACAATAGAAACATTGAATTACCAAAGAAACTCACTGAACTCTCAATCGGTCCAACCAGAACCCAATAAATCGAAAACCCGGTCGACTCGAAATCACGTCTACAACAAAACCCGCGGTTCTTTTATTTAAAAATTCGATACTCGCGAAAACCGAAGCCCCGGGATCAAAGTTTCCGAGCGTAATCCCGAAATCGAGAGAGAGAGAGAGCGGCTTGAAGTTCCCCGAACTCCGTGATCGTTCCATTGTTTTTCTCGTGGCTCGAGGCCGTTTCTCGCGGCTGTTTTCATTCGATCGAGGGGAACGCGCGCGAGA